CATGAATTTTTAATACATGTATTGGATTCAAATTGCTAATAATTCATTTAGGTTATGTATCGATGTGTCAAAGCTGACAAGTGATCTAGCCAAAAATTTCTCTTATACCGTTTTTATCTGTTTTTACTATCAAAATTAAATTAGCCCCATAAAATAGGTTGAACAGCTTTCCTTATTTTCTATTTTCTGTAACAACTTGAATAACATAGGCGTTTTTTTGGGGGGTCCAGTTATAAAACTGTTGGGCCTGGGTTTTATTTATTTATTTTTTATTTTGAGAGCATGGAGGTACAAATAAGTTTTTATTTTTATTTATTTAAAATTTTTAAAAAATATTTATTTATTTTTTTTTTTAGTTTTTGGCAGACACAACATCTTTGTTTGTATGTGGTGCTGAGGATCAAACCTGGGCCACATGCATGCCAGGCGAGCGTGCTACTGCTTGAGCCACATCCCCAGCCCAACAAATAAGTTTTAAAATCTTATTTCAACATTTTAAATGGTTACAATAACATTTTAAAGGATTATAGTTCAGGGATTTTTTTTTCTTTCTGGTTATTTGTTTATTTATTTATTTAAGATTGGAAGTTGCTATGTTACCCAGGCTGGCCTCAACCTCATGATCCTCCAGCCTCAGCCTCCCAAGTAGCTACAGGCATGCACCACAGTACCTGGCTACAATTAAGCTTTTAAAAAGTTTCTTCTGGTACTAATTTTAACATTTTGCATTTTTCACAATGTTATTTATTTCATCTAGATTGTAAAGTTTGCCAGGGGAAAATATGTTTACCAATGTTTTATTTGCCCCTCTCCCTCTCTCTCTTTCATCCAGTTGATTTGATCAGAGGTTTATCTATCTCTTTTTCTTGTTTAGGTTTTATCAACTATTTTTATTGGGCTTTAAAATATTATTGTTACTGCCTATTTTGGTTTTTCATTAGGGAGTATGTTTTATTGTCTTGGATTGATGGGCAGAGTTGTTCTTTTTCTCTGGGGAGAGGAACAAAAGCTTAACTGTAGCTCATGGTTCTCCAGGTAAATTTAGGAAGTTTCAGGGCAAAAGCTACAGTCTAGAGACCCAGTAGTGATGCACCTGTTCCCAGATTCCTGATTCATGCAAGGCACCCCCAGAACCTGTCAGTGCTTTTATGGCAAGCACTGCTTTTCATGAGGAGGTGGGCTGTTGCTCTAACTGCTAGGCCCATTTATGAATGTACCAACCTCTGACTCCTATAATTTCAGGAGCTTGCTGGGGTTGTGGCTCAGTGGCAGAGCGCTTGCCTGGAACGTGTGAGGCACTGGGTTCGATCCTCAGCACCACATAAAAATAAAGAAAATAAAGATACTGTGTTCAGGAGCTCTTGAGCACAGGCACTAGGTCTCTGCAATATCAAACAAATTTTACTTATTCTCCCCCACTGCTAGTTCTTCCTTTAAACTTAAAGCTTGCTCAATTCTCACTTTATAAAAACGCTCACACTCACACACCTGCGCTCACTTACCTGGCTAACACCAGTTTACCTCTTCTACTCGGTAAGCCATGCTTTGGTTCTTTGTTTCTAGCACTCCTGTGCATGGCTCCGATCTCACACTTATACTGACTACAGTTAACTTGTTTTTACATCCATCTCTTCTTCTACTTGGGTAAAGGTACCTTGAGAACCTCGACCTTGCATTTGGTGTTTTGTTTTTTTTTTTAACCTATGGCTGAATTTAATTTACCTTATATAATATATACTCAGTAAATGACTGTTGAGGAAATAAAGCAGAGGTGCACTCTAACATGAGGAAATGTGTCACTTTGGGAAGTTGTCACCAAATTTCAATAAGGACCCTAGAATGGGACCATTACATTTATCAGGTTTATAACCTGGAGGATCATCTGCAATGAGATTTGGAAAGTAAGGTATTCTAATATATTACATTTTGAAAACGTCAGTTCAGTATCACAGCATTGACTTTTAAAATTGCATGAGCAATACTTACCCTGGGAAGGAAAAAAATTAAATATAAAAAGCAAAAGGGAAGAAAAGTCACCTGTAATCCCATGATGCAAGAATGACCCTCTGTAAGCATTTTCTTATCTTCTATTAGATTTTCCTTTTACTATGCAAAAGTTATATACTCATGTAAATATACATTTTAAGTGACATTATTTTATGTATACTTTTGAAAATCTCCTTGGTCACTTACAATGTACATCTTTGCATGTCAATAAAAATATAGTTACAGCTGGGTATGGTGGCACACTCCTGTAATCCCAGCGACTAGAGAGGCTAAGACAGGAGGATCATGAGTTCAAAGCCAGCCTCTGCAAAAGTGAGGTGCTAAGCTACTCAGCAAGACCCTGTCTCTAAATAAAATACAAAATAGGGCTAGGGATGTAGCTCAGTGTTCAAGTGCCACTGAGTTCAATCCCTGGTATCCATCCATCCCCCCCAAATATAGTTACAGTATTACTTTAATGCTTTTGTGGAATTAAGGTAGATAAGCATCAAGGTGTATTTAACCAGTTCATTCTCTACCATTATACATTTAGGTCATTTATAGTGTTTTGCTACTTCAAACAATTTTCCCACAAATGTCTTTGTACTTACATTTTAAACACTTATCTGATTATTTGCTGGACAAGAAATATGTTCATATTTAAATTTCATTATAAATGGTTGAGTTGCTTTCCGGAATGTTGAATCACTTTACACACCTACCAATAGCATACAAGAGTACCTGTTCCTTATATCTCACCAAGATAGGGTACACTGATTCTGTTTACTCTGTCAGTCTGATTTGGTTTCTCATGATTTTTCTTGTTTGTTTGGTATCCAGGAGTGTTTTACCCTCAGTTACATCTCTAGTCCTTTTTTATTTTGAGACAGAGTCTCACTAAATTGCTTCGGGCCTCTCTAAGTTGTTGAAATTGGACTTGAACTTGTGATCCTGCTGCTTCAGCTCCTGAGTCACTGGGATTACAGGCATATGTCACTCCACCCAGCTGGTTCCTCATGATTTTCCTCTCATTGATTGCTAGTTAAACTATTTATATTTTTCATATCTTTATTGGCTCCTTTTATTTATTTATTTATTTTTGGTACCAGGTATTGAACAAAGGGGCACTTTACCACTGAGCCACATCCTGTCCCTTTTTAAAAAATTTTTTTTTAAAATTTTGAGACAGGGTCTTACTAAGTTGCCTAGGGCCTCACTAAACTGCTGAAGCTGGCCTTGAACTTGCAATTCTCCTGGGTTCAAGGCCTCAGCTCCCTGGGTCACTGGGATTCCATACCATAGCACTCAGCTTTCTTTTTAGAAAAAAGAAAGCTTTTCTTTTTAGAGTGTTTATATCCCCTGATAGCTTATATATTTGAAAAAATATATATAGATATATAGATATCTACCTAGCTATAGATATTTTAAAAATATATAGATATCAACTCTATTTATGCTAAAAATGTACTATGTATTTTCCTTCAGTTGCTATTTACTTGTTGAACTTTATTTACCCAACTACAAAAGGGGGCTCAGAGCTATCTTTTAGCTATCTTTTAGTATCTTTTTTTTAAAAAATTTTTTCTTCCTATGCATTAAAGTCAAAGTTAATCTGCTTTTTCCTTCAAGGTTTCTGTTTAGGTGCCTCTCCACACCAGGCAGAGAAGACCAACAGCCTACTAGACACCTTCCCCTCATTTTCTTTAACGAGAGAACATTGCTGCCTAAAAGATAGCTCTGAGCCCCCTTTTGTAGTTGGGTACAGCCAGGTGACCCATGAAGGCCAACAGGGGCAAGCCCTGCTGTGTGACATGGGGCACAGCTCAAGAGTGAGTCTGAGCCCTTCTCTCTTTCTTCTCTCTGCTGCCTACAGGGAAACAGCTAGAGATCTAGAAACCATCTTGGACCAATTCCATCTTGAGGATCAAAGCCAAGCTTGGCTGAGGGTAAAAAAGTGGAGCCCAGAGTCCTGATGTCACAAAGCTCTCACACCACCCTGGTCTATCTATCTCTGAACTCCTTTCGTGTGAGAGAACAAATAAGTCACTGTAGTCACGCCTTTTGTAAGAATCATTCTTATCTCCTAAGAGTGATTCCTGCCTCATGCCAACTCAAAGTTATTTCAGTGTCTACTTGTACTTTCTTCTAGTCGTCTTCATCTACGCCATTATCCTATGTTTTCCTCACACGACTGAAAAGATGTGTAATAAGGATTTAACAGTCTACATCAAATAATGTTTTGGTAGAAACTTCTTTGAAATGATGATTGCTAGACTTACACATGCATAGAATTATTACAGTAAATTTTGAGAGCGGATCTAATTATCGAGTTTTATTCTATGTAGGCAAATTTTTTTTGAAGTTAGGCCAATAATCTTGACATGAAATCCTTTTACAAGCACATCTTGAGAAGTATCTATTTTTTTAGCAAATCATGGGATTTTTTATCTTGAGAAATTATTTTCAGAGAAGATGACTATAAGTGTGAGACTCTACATAAAGTTGGGAGTTTTTTGATGAAGAAAATTGGATACGCACTAAAATTTGTGTAAGGAAGAGATGGAGCGTAACAAGATCTTACCATAATTTCATTACAGTCAGAACTTCATTTAAATATTATTGGTTTTGAAATGTTTTGGACATAAGTATAAAATATTTCTTATAAAACAATATTATATATTATTTTTGTTTCTGTATTAGTCTAATTGGAAATTGTTAGCATTTAATTTAGTGTCACTAATATTTCCTCAATTAACATTTACTGAGCACTTGCTATGTATGGAGGCTCCCAATGACTTGCCCAACCCATTAATAGAATTCCTATTTTAGAGAGGAGGAAATTGAAGAGCAGAGGTGCTAATTCACTTGCCCAAACCACTCAGAGGCTGATTGGAAGAGATGGCTGTTAACTTAAAGCCTAAACTTGTGGCTACTCATGTCAGGCCTGCAGGAAAGAAGAGATAAGGAAGACATAGTTTCCCACAGGTAATAGTAAAGAAAATCTGGTACCTTACCTGAGCCACACAGGTCTGTTATATTAATGCGAGTGGGCAGGGAACTGCCTTTTGAATTGGCTGCAGACACAGCTACAGTCCAAATCCCAGTTCTGGGAATAACCCAGGTCCAGAAGTTGTGTCCTGTGATGTTCTGTAGTGTGATTTTCTTCCCTGTCACTTCTTGCAAAGTCACCTGATAGTGAAGGATTTTCCCTCTTGTCTCTGATACACTCAGATTCTGCAACAAAACACATCCATGTACTATTAACTCTCAGATTAAGATCTCTGAATGCTGTGTGCCTGGTCCTCTTGGCTCCTGCTGCAGGCAGCCAAATCTGAGTGACCTTTTCATGTGTATCTCTTCATCTCCACTGTACACTTCATGCAATGACCTATCATCACAACTGCCATTTAAGAAAAAAAAATCAGTATCTTTAAAAAAATAATTCTTCAGAACACAGCAATTTTCCTTTCTTGCATCAAAATGAAATGAACTAATGGTAAACAACTTTATCCATCCCATCGAACAAGAATGAACTCAGAAGAACTGAATCTGAACTCCAGTTCTGTCAATCACATGGACCCTGGATGAGGCTCTTAGCAATTGTGGGTCTCTGTTGCTAATTTATGAAACATACACATCCATACACGTCTAACTTTTTATATAAGAAAGTATCATCCTGCTCAAAACACCAAACACAAGACTTTCAAGAGCTAAACCAGTAAAATCTATACTTAGTGAATTGAATTAGCCATCTGTGCTAGGAAATGAAGAAACTGTTCGTAAATATGTGACTAACAAGTTTTGGAACTGCAAAAATTCCAATTGAGATCATTTGGGAGCAATCCCAGGAAGTAAGCAGAAAACTAATTATTTGTATTGTACCCCTGTTTGGACAAGGACCATGGAAAGCAGAAGCATAGAACATGGGAGAGTTGTCAAGCCTAACATTGGCAGTGCCTATCCCTGCCTAGCATAGGGCAAGGAAGGCTTGGCTTGCCAGGGATAAGTGGTAGTTTCTTGGCATAAGTATCCCTTCTGTAAGTGGGGGGTCTCCAGCTACCTCTGCTGAAAGACACATCTAGGATTGGAGAATGCCCCTCACTCAGGTTCCCTGATCAGCAAGAAATCTAATAATTTGGTTTCCTATGAAGATTGTCTGTCAGGACAGAATAGGCAACATGAATGTCTGGTTCACTTAAAATTTGTACTTGTCACTTTAAGTGAATAAATCAGCCTTCTGATTATAATTTGGTTTCTAAAACAATTAGCATACTGGGAGAGAATGTTCCAATTTGCTGAGTCAAGCCTTCTGGTTGGCCCAACAGCTGTATTCTCCCTGCGGATGAATCCATGAGCATCCAACTTTTATATTTCCATTTCTGGGAGCATGATTAATACAGATTTGTTCTGGGACCCTTTTGTGTCCATGAGGCTCAATCCTGGATCTCAAGCCTTGGTCTGCACCAGGTAAGCGCCATGTTGCCCGGGAACCCAGTGGATGAACATTTAGTCTTTCTCCACAGTTAGCATTTCAGATATCCATCACAGCTGAAGTCATAGGCTGGCTGTGCAGATTAAAATAAGCAAGTGCTTTCTAAAGTACTATATTCTAAACTGTCATTAATAAACATGCCCATTGTCAAGGAAGAAAAATAACATAAATTAAAGCAAAAGCTTGTTAGGAAAGACCATTCCCTCAGCTATCCTTCCCTGTTTCTTCTCTGTAAGTCCAGAGGTAAGTGTATTACCTCCTCCCTGCCCCACATTATCTCACCAAGGCACTTTACAAGAGTTAACCAAGCTCACAAAATTCCCCATTCTTGCCAGGAACCCAAAAGGCTTCAGTTCTACTCTAACAACTAAGTAAACAGAGCACTAATTTGGAAGGAAAAAAAAAAAGCACCTTGCAAACCAAACTTTGTCACTCTTTCACTGTCCTTCATAGACACCCCAGAAATCTCATTTGATTAAATGGTAAAATGCTGAAAGAAGGGGGTAAATGTCATCTCGGGTCCATTGAGCTTTCATAGTGACAGCCATGAAAACCCAGCTGATCACAGCCTTCTAGTCAATAGAGGTAGGACTCAGAAGGATTGTGAAGTTTTCAGAGAATAGTAAAGGGCACAGACCCTTGCATTTCTCCTCTATTTCTCATATTTTAGAGTTAAAAAGATTATGAATAGGTTGGGGTGGAGTGGAAGTAGTAGACAAGTAAATATGGCATCCTGGGGCCATACATATGGCAATACATATGGCATTATATAAATATGGCTCACATAAAATGTCAAGCTCAAGTCTGGAGATAAAGATTACCTCTCTTGGGTAATTGATCTCCTTAACCAAACTGGTCCTATAGGGTCCATGGAACAAAAATCTCAATAAGCCAATAGGAAAACAGGTATTTAGCCAAGTGGGCACTTAGTCTCCCAAAGCCTCTGAAAACAGTATAACTCATTTGTTTTTGAAAAAGAAACGCAACATAATATTTGTAAATAATGTATATAATTCCTGGATCATCATTCCTGGATCATGCCTGGCCCAGATGGAATGGAATATCTTTGTGTAACCACCAAACTGGAAGAGTTTCTATAGATTAACAATGAATTCAACACTGTATTTTATAAACACAGAAACAGGGACTCAGTGAAATGAAATGACTTGCTTAAGGCTGCTCAAGGGATAGATGGAGAAGGGATGATTGAATTTAGGGCGCTCAATTTCAGTATTCCCTCTACTATGACATGCTGCTCCTTAAGCCTGAGACAATGGAGTGGCAGGTGCAGTCTGCCATGTTGCATAACTGGAATCCCCAGTCACCTTTCCTAGCAGGATGTTGCAAAGCTGCTTCTCTAATTGTGGGGTTGTGATATGTTCTGACATACAACATCAACATTGGGCATGAGTTCAGAAATTTGGGAAGGGTAGGGGTCCATAATTCTTTTCTGGACCAGCAGGCTCTGAGTCACAAGGAGACAAGCTGTGAACCCAGAAGTCCTGCAGTCCTGAGCAGCCAGCTGACAAGTCTTCCCAGGTGAACATATTTATACTCTAGTGCTGCTTATTTGCGTGACGGGGAGAAAATAACATTTGTTAGTAAACCATGTGTTGGGAGTTTTACCTCTATTGTCACATTTAGCCCTTACTACTCCCCATTCTGATGAGGATGCTGAGGTTTAGAGCTCAGAAGTCAAATACTCCCCACAAGGAAGGCATGTGAGATTGCAGAGCGCCCTCTAGTGGATGTGAGGCAGAACTCAGCTACCCAAATGTGCTACATCCCTGGTGGTGTCTAGTCCTGGAAACCCTTGTGCCATCTCTGGCAGTGCTGAGTGTGACTCTCAGGCCACTGTTCCTTCTGTTATCCTCGTTCTTTTCTGTTGGTGAGAGTATGCCAAAAAAAAAAAAAAAAGGATAAGCTTTCCTATTGTTTGTCCCCTTCAGTTTTGTTTCTGCTCCATCCTGTCCTGTGGGAAATGAATGAAACAGCATGGAAACTCTTTCTGAATAAGGTTTGAGAAGTGGAGAGTGAACAGCTCCCTCAATAAGCTGCTGTGAGAGTTACACTGCCTGAAAAGGCTTCCAGCATCAGAGATAACGTGGTGAATGAAATCCATGACAAGACAGAACTCAACACAGTTGAGACTATGACACCCTGGTGGTATCTAGTACTGGAAACTCTAGTGCCATCTCTGGCAGTAATAATATATATATTTTATTAAAACTCTGGGGCTGGGATGCAGCTCACTGGTAGAGCACTTGCCTAGCATGCATGAGGCCCTGGGTTTGATCCTCAGCACTACAAAACAAAAATAAACAAAGGTCTGTTGAAGAAAAGGGGTCTCTGTGAATCGACGAAGCATTTCTTCTTAGGACTTACACCTAATGGAATTGTCCTAAAGTAACACTTTACTTCAGAACTTCTGATGCAAATAATAAGGGGAAAAAAATCTGTTAAGCTTAACCAACATCAAAGAAGAGTGGCTATAATCAATGCTCCTTAGAAAGTTAGGGGGATTTGAACACATTAGTCACCGCTTATATTGCTGACTTCGTGGTTTTTTGTTGTTTTTTTTTTTTTTTTGTGGTGCTGGGGATTGAACCCAGGACCTCACACATGCTACATTAGCTCTCTACCACTGTTCACATTGGGCAGGTTATTTTACCTATTTGAGCCTCAACTTTATTATTTTTAAAATGACGATAATTCCCATCCATGAGTTAGAAGGGAAATAACCTGTTCCAAAGAATGCACATGACAAATGAGAAGACAGAGACACTCGGTGAGTTCCCTTCTCTTGGTTACTCTGAAGTAATGCAACATCATCACAATTGGCACTACTCCACCCTCTACTAATCTCCAGAGACCCAGGCCATCTTGACTCTTGGCTTCACCTGCAGTTCTATATGGAAGGTTTACCAATGTGATGTAGTTGATTTCAAAGTACATTTAATTTGTGAGTTTAAACTCGGGTGCCTTCATTTTGGAATTCATGACTACCTTCAGCAGCCCCAGTCCAAAGTCACTTGAAGTTTTTCTCTTTCTCCCTCCCTTCCTCCCTTTCTTTTTGAGACTATGTTGCCTAAGCTGGCCTTGAACTCCTGGGTTCAAGCAATTCTCCTACCTCAGCCTCCTCCAGTTGGGACTACAGGCGCACACCAACTACACACTGCTTTTGAAATTATGACATTGAAATCTCTCATCCACGACTCCGTCTCCCCCAGTCTGTCAGGTCATCTTTGTACTCTCGGGTCATGTACAACATTTGCACCCCACAGTGACTTAGTGCACACTTTTCACAATGATCTTATTAATCTTTACAACAACCTCATGTGGTCTATTCCATTATTCTCCACACTTTACTCACAAGGAAAGTAAAGCCCAGAGAGGTTAAATACCTTGTTCAAGAACACATGACCAGTAGGTAGGGAAGCTGGACCTTGAACCCAGGTAACACAGCTCTGTCTACAATTCTCAACAGTGGGACCTTGCTAGCACTGGGTAGACTCTTCAGATCCTCTGCAGGACTGAACTGACTGAACCCAGTGACACCTCACAGCAGTTGCCCTGGCATAATGACTTCTATCTTGTTTTGTAGCTAGAAAAAAACAGGAAAATAAAGGAAGTCTTCGTGAGAGTCAAACTTTAACTCCTCTTCCATCTCTGCTTCTAATCTTCTGTTCTCCCTCCTACCCACCCTCTTGTTTTTTGTCCCTGGACACATTCTGCTCTCTAA